AAAATTAAGTAAATCATGTAAGGATATAAATTCAAACTTATATTTTGGAAGTATTGCTTAAGCTCAAACTCTACAGCAAGGCATTAGTAATGCCAAGGTTATGCTGTCAGTTCCCACTGAACGCAAGAACTGATAGCAGCGCCGTTTCTGACTAATTTTTTGTCTGTGTCTCCTCAGTTGATGGTGCTCTATGTAAGTTCCTCCATAGATCGGATTGAATCTGCGTCTCCATGGCTGATGGTGCTCTATGTAAATTTCTCCATCGGTCGGATTGAATCTGCTTCTCCATGGCTGATGGTGCTCTTTGTGAATTTCTCCATCGGTGGAAATTAATCTGCGTCTCCATGGCTGATGGAGCTCTTTGTAAATTTCTCCATCGGTGGAAATGAATCTGCGTGTCCATGGCTGATGGTGCTCTATGTAAGTTTCTCCATCGGTGGGATTGAGTTGGTGTTCCCCCAGCTGATGCTCTTCTAGGCAACCACCTAGTTCACCTATGCCTATAAATGCCTCTAACTGATTTATTTCATAATAGCCATGACTGATAATGGCCCTTAGCTTTTGGAAAAAACACCTGCAAAATGCATAAGTGTTAAATGTTGGTGTATTTTTAAGGAACTTGGTTGGTTTCTTGAATGCCACTAAACAGTTCAGGTCACTTTTTTTTCCAATGCTTTCCAACTTGTACACAGTCTCACACCAGAGATTTTTCTGATCTTTTCTTGTCCTGACAGAAGTGACTTTAAACTTCTCATATGGAGGAATCAGCACTTCTTTCTGTTTAGGATACTTAGAATATTTTGTCACATCAGCACCTTCACAAGTTTTGATTTCAAAACAAGATTTATTTCCAAAATCTTGTGCTACTTTACGTTCAAGAGAGGAGGATGTAAAAGAGCCAAAACGAACATCTTCTCCAGTAACATTCTTATAAAATTCAACTGTAGTACCACGATACGTTGACTTGCATTCCTTTTGTGTTTTAGTCAATTTCTTGATTGCATCGGTTAACAAAAATTGAATTGAATACCATTTAAATGTCTGGTCTGTGTAGTTTTGTTTACCATTACGAACAGCCATGTTAAAATTGCTGTATACATTAGAATTATTGTTGGTGTACACATAAATGGAGATTGAATTATTCCATGTCAGGTTATCTTCTGGTGGTGTGGCATTCACTTCACCTTCTTGCCAAGCCTTTTTAAAATCAGGTGAGTTATTGATTTCCTTCTCTAGATAATTTGACTCCACCAGGTGTTCCATTTTAACAGTGCAACCATCATATTCATCATCAACTGAATTCAGTGCCATATCCAGTGGAAATATCTGTCCTTTAACAGCAGCTCTGTGATCCTGCAGCAACAGCAATAATAATAATCAATCATCAGTATTCATGTCTGTAATATTCATACTAGAACCCAAGCTTACCTGTCCTAGAGCAGCTAAAATGAGAAGAGCTGCTTCAATGATCAGCAGCATCTTGATTCAGTCAAATCCCTCAGATAATCTAGTAGATCTAGTGAAGCGCAGATGCTGAAAGACAACCAGAAACACAACAGTGTCTCACAAATACTAAATCTATCACTATAATAGCAAAAGTCACTTTAAGGCAAGTAATTTTACTCGGCAATCATCTTATCATATCATCTTATCATAGCTCCTATCTCTTTGAATGGGGAAACATCAAATTCTCCAAAGCT